CACCGCTGAAGCTCATGCCATTTAGAATCACTTCTGGAACTTGCCTCAATCTACTTTCTAAACAAGTACTTTGTAACAAACTCGTTTTGTTCATATGATTGAAGATTATGTAGAAGTTGTAGGTCTTCCCAATGTGTTTTTTCTCAATGAATGAAGGCCTCGCCCAAATTTACTCATAAAAAAAAATTACAAAACACAACACATCATGAAGATCCGTCGAAAAACAAACCAATCAATAAAAAAATTGATTGATTAAAACAAAACAAAATACAGTAAGTCACAGAAATAGAGAATAAAATCTTCTACTATCATGATCATTTGCAAATTGATCCACCTAATAAAAAAATAGTGAAAAATAAGAGATACCAGCCTTCAAAGCTAACAAGAAAACTTCCAGGAAGTACTCCACATCATTCTTCAATGTTACACCTTCTCAATAATTGTTGTAATCAAATACTCCACATCATTCTTCAATGTTAAGTCTATAGAAAGACTTTCCGAGTTTGCATATTAGGTATTTGTTGGAATCATTCTCAAGTCTTAGTGGTATATTCATATATATTTCTTCCATATCCCCATTCAAGAAGGTATTTTTTTATGCCAAGTTGATGCAGTTCCCATTTCTTGTTGACTGTTTCTAAAAGAACTCTGATAGTATTCAGTTTGACAACCAGTACGAAGGTTTCCTGATTGTCAATTCCATAGCTTTGTGTGAAACCCTTAGCAACTATGCTGATTTTGAATCTCTCAACAATCTCATCAGCTTTGTATTTGATATTGAACGCCCATTTGCATCTAAGTTTTTTTTCTGAGGAAGTTTAGGAGGAGCTCATATGACATTATGTTCTAGTGCTCAAATCTCTTTTTACATTGCTTTCTTTTATTTTAGATTTTCTAAGTTTCATGAATGAATTTAGGAATCCACACACTATCGATGTTAGATATAAACACTTTATAGGTTGAAGATAGTCTTTTATAAGCAACATACTCCTGAATTGGGTATTTAGTACTATTTTTCTTGTCATCAACACCAGAAGAGAAAGCGCTCAAGTCATGAGTACTAGAAAAACCTAAAATTTCAAATAAATGTTGATTTAGGTTTCAGTTGAAGCAATTTTATCTTTCCAAGCTCCCTTCCACCTGCTTAATGTTTTTTTTTTTTGCTTCTGTTGTGCACTCGAAGCTAAGCTTTTTATTATGGACTTCGTGTTGGGTTGATTAGATATTCTCAACATGAGTAGGAGAGTCGAGTGGAAGAGTAGGAAGAGTAGGTGGGTTTGTTGAGCAGGTGTCATCATGTGCATCCTAAAATTGATGGTCATTTGCACTCTCCCCCTAAACATCAGATTTGGGATATTAAGATTTACTTTTCAAAAAATGTGTTATCAGTGGAGTCATAGTATTTTTTGGTAACAAGTAACACCGATACCCTTTTTTGTTGGAGATATAACTAAGAAAAATACACTTGATAGACTTAGGATCATGTTTGGTTCGAGTTAGGGAATGAATGTGAATGAAGGATACACCTAAAAATTTAAGTGTTATAATAGGTGAGAGCCCAAATGTGTGAATAAGTAACCATCCATCAAAACATAAAGTGATGTTTTGAAGTCAATTATATGGCTAAGCATTCAACTGATAAGATATGTTGTACTAAAAACTATATCCCTAAAAATATTTTGGAACTTGATGAGATATTATTTTGCGCGATGATACTTCTAAAAATATTATTCAAAGAGCACTATCGTCTACTTCTTATGGCAGATATAATAGCTTTGAGCTTATTGGAAATGGGAAAATATAAGATCTTTATTAGAAAAATACCTCCTTGTAGATTCAATTAAAGCATTGAAATTTTGATGAAATTTTAGTAGTTTTTGTAAAGAAATCTTATGAACAGAACTAAAGTAATTGAGTAATAGGAGAGTGACCAAAGGTAAGATACTCTAAAATTTTTGAGAAAGCTGAATGAAAGGTAGCCATACAATGCGCATTTCAAAGGACTGTCTAATAAACATCTGATGGGGAAATAAAATTTTTTATTGTACCATCTATATGATAATCCAATGTTTGGATGATCAAAGAGACCCGTGATGCAAATGCAATCATTAAAATCAATAAGTTTACTAGATAAATGACCACCCAATTTTCTTTAGTGTTTCTAATACAATTAAAATTTTCCAAAATAATCTAAGGAACTCGAGTATCCTCTCAGATAAAGCAACAATTCATAACTCTTTCCTTTTAATAGGATTGTTTTCAGCATAAGCAAAAGTAACCAAGAACTTGACAGATGAAGAAAAAATAATACTACCATGGATATATTGAGCTTAAATATCAAAGGCATTGAAATTGATTTTGGAGGGATTTCATTTAACCCAAATGCACCATCTATCAGCCATAAGAAAGTTGTTTGAACTGGATTCATTAGGAAATAACTCGAGCTAACTACAAAAATAAGGATCAAGAATGGAAAAGGCTAGTTTCCAAAGGACAATGAGATCAAGATTATGCTCTTTAAAAAATATTTGCAATCAGTGATTCTAAGATTACTATGAAGGCTCTAACATTCTAAGCCACTATATTTAGTAATAACATAATGAAACAACCAAATAATAAGGAAGAAGAATTAAGAAGAGTTTTCTTTGGTTCTACCCTTTTTGCTTTTAGAGAAAGAAGGCAAAATAGAGGTAGGCTTATTTCAAGCCTTGTTAATTGAAGAATTAATGACAGAATCTTAGAATAGCAAAGAAGCAAGCTCAGTATTTTCCATGACTTTGGTAAATATAAAGAAGCCTTCAAGTCCAAATGTCCATACTCAATACCGAAGTTGAACTAGAAGAAGATTCCCCTCTTAAAAGAGGGGTCTTCATTGGCTTGTTTAAATCAGGAGGAGGCATAATAGGAGGGGCTATGGTCTTGAATAGTAGGAGCAACATTTTTATGAGTAACCGATTTACTAAAATTTCTTCTAGGTCCGTTGCTATTCTTATGAAACTTTCTTCCTCTCAAAGGGCCAACAAGGGCGACTTATAATTCATTGATTTAGGACAATGCATCATGAGCAAAAGAAGAGCAAACTTTACCGGTCTCAGGCTCCCATTCGTAAATAACTTCTTGAACAAAGGCTTGTACCTTAACATTGATAGTAATAGAATCTGGAATGGCAGAGTTAATATTAGTTTGAATTTTTACTCAAATAAACCTTAGGTGTGAGCCTTTGGCAGCAAGAGGATCCATAATTAGAGGTATTTCAGTTTTACTTGCGATTATAGAAATTCCCTTCTTCGACCAGCAACAGAGGGAGATTAGGGAATTTCACCCTGATAGGAACTTCACAAAAATCCTCTTTAATGGGTTTAAAATCATAAGTCCACAGTTAAAAAAAAATTAAAAATTTTGATGAACTGAAGTCCCTCCCCTTTGATTCCATCATGAGCAAAAGAAGAATAGATTTTACAGGTCTCATTCTCCCATTCGTAAATGACTTCTTGAACAAAGTCTTGTACCTTAACATTGATAGTAATAGAATCTGGAAAGACAGAGTTAATATTAGTTTGAATTTTTACTCAACAAACCTTAGGCGTGAGCCTTTGGCAGCAAGAGGATCCATAATTAGAGGTATTCAAATTTTACTTGCGATTTTAGAAATTCCCTTCTTCGACCAGCAACAGAGGGAGATTAGGGAATTTCACCCCGATGGGAACTTCACAAAAGAACCATCTTTTTGCTCTCTAAACAGATGAACTGAAAATAAGAAACCTTCATTTAAAGAAATATGCTCTACATTACCTTTTAGTTTCCAAATTGTTTGAGTAGCTTAAGATTGCCGTAATAAGCCTCTTGTCGAACACGTACCCAACCAACGCAAGATGCCACTGCTTTGAACAATCTTCCACCTCTTCTCATCAGAGTAGGGAATAAAAGAGAAGTTAGAGTTTATAAGGTTAGGAGTATGAGAAGAGATCAACCCTTTCTAGTTAAGGGAAGGCCTGGGACCAAAGATAGAACCATTTCTAGAAGACGGGAGGGGGTAAAGAAGAGATGCCTAGAAGGCCTGGGACCAAAGATAGAACCATTTCTAGAAGACGGGAGGGGGTAAAGAAGAGATGCCCATAAACTCAAAAGGGGTTGAAGCCCCAACGCGGAACAAGAAACAAGCAAGAAGAGTACAAGAAAAAGAGGAAAAGGGCGCAAAGGGGTAGAAGCCCCTAAGCGGAGTGGGGGATGAGCAAGGTGACAATAAGAAGAAGAGGATAATGGTAAAGAAAGGAGAGGGAAGAAGAAAATCCCAAATCCTAGTAGAGTCTCCAAGATGCCTCGGGAAATAGGCACATCGCGAGCTGGATTCTCTCTTTCAAAAATGAGGGACATAGTAATCGAGGGTGTAATTTTTTGACGGTGAGGTTGATGATGCGTGTCTTATCAATACTAAAAGAAAGAATACTCTTTTGGTGTCATTTTTAACCAATACGTGCGTCATCCTATTGTATTTTTTAGTGGTTAAAGAGTTTTTTAATTTATTGTTTGGTGTAGCTCTAGTTAGCAAAATTTGACAGCATTCCTGTTGAACGTTTCGACAATTTCTCTTCTCGATCACAACTATATGGTTAGAACCTTTTCTAATTCCAAATTTTATTGCATTATGATTAAAGAGTGACAAATTTAATCTTTTACAGTGTTTTTTTTAACTGGAGACATTTTATCCCATAGCAGATTAGCCTGGTACTATCTTCAGTTTCTAATCATGTACGGCGTCAAAGTGGCTGCCTCATGTTAGGTTTTTAAAATGATTAGGAGCTAGCCATTTTTCCAAAGGATCGATGGATTTTTATTGCACCCTAGTTTTTAAAATCATTATGCTTTGCCCATTTGCAACCACTTAGTTTTGCATATCTTTTTGTTAAAAATTTTGGTATATCTTATGGTTGAGATGAAAACTTTAATTTAGATCCATATATTGTTGTTCCTTTCAAGAATGCGTTCATTAAAAATGGCAGGTGGAATACTATTTTAGCGATGCAAACCTGGCAACTACTGAACACTTGATGAGGTTCATCAGTAAAGATCCAGATGGATTTGGTAAGCTAACCAGTCAGTTTTTCTTATGCATTAATCTTATTGGTATTGTATATTTTTTATTTTAAATAATTTCTGGGTTATAACATATACTAGATTTAAATTCTTGGTGCGTTTTTAAGAGAGAATAGATTCTGCTTTTCTACTATTTTGCTTCTGTATCATTGCTTTCTCGCTCAATCAATCAAACAACTGTAATGTAAGAACAGGCTACTGGTTAAGCGATATTTTTGCCACAACAAATAGAAAAAAATACTGTCAGCACCAAATATTTTTCCAAACTTGTTTTTGCATTAAAATTTTCAAGTCATAGAACATACAGGAATGAGCAGTCAGTTTTAAACATAATAGAATTGAACCCCGCGCGGGTGAACCATTTCATGGAAAGAAGCTTGTCAGGGCCTTTCAAACATGGAAATGTTTTCCAGCTTTCCATTTATGCGACTTTGCCTCAAAAGGTCTCAATCATATTTTCACTGAAATAATTTTGTTACAAATCGTTCTAATGCTGAAGTTCATTTCTTAAAAAAATTGGTTCGCAAAATTACTTTTAAGCTTTCTTTTACGATTTGCCGCCTTTTGAGCTAAAGTTTTGGTTTCTAGATTAAGTTGTACATCATATGTTCCAATGATATAGCATCATTATTCACTTGTTCTACCAAGATTGCTACTGTTTCTTTGTCTCTGTTTCATTGACGCAGCAATTACTAATTTTTTAGGTTGGATCTCTACATTTGTACAGAACTTGTGTTTGTCATTACATATTGAAGTATTGTTTGAATCAGATCACCAGCTCTAGCGCATGGAAGTTTCTCTTTTTATTTAATTTTATGTTTTCATGATTCAAATATGTCTAGATTCTTACATGGATTTTAACTTGAGTTCTCTTTTGTTTGATAATATAAAGAAGCCCTCATTTTTTTATTTTCATCTTCGGTTGGGATAATGGTGATTTTAATTTTTCTGTCCGTAGTAATCTGTATTGCTTGTTGGGGCAGTGCTTCTGTGCTGTTTGGCATACTAGCTTATCCCACCATGTAAATTCCCATTATCTATGATATCAAATCTGCGTATTTTTTCAAAAAATAGTAGAGCATTTAGTTCCCAATGAACTACTGACCACATAGTCCATGTTTGCAGTTCCAATATCAGTTGTTGCTTCTTTTAAGAAGATTAAGGCATTGGTGCACAATAATTTTCTGCTTGCTAATGCTCTAAGGACATCTTCTAAACTTGTAAGATTTCGATTCAGTCTTTTTTGTTAAGGAGCTTTTCCTATTGTACCTTTGCTTCAAATTTATCAAACCGCCTGTATGACAACTAGTTCTAAGCTATTGTGGCATTTGCCATTGATGCTTGCACTTCTAATGTTTTCCTAATTGTGGGACAATTTTTCCAGGTTGTCAGTGATGACGGGAAGAAAGTTAGGCGCATACAACCCTTCACCGAGGCTGACGTTGAGGAATTACAAGTAGTTTTTTTTTTTTTAAATAATTTTATCATAAAATGTGACATAATAGAAACTCTGATTTCTTATTTAAATTGATTTCTTTCTAGTCTCGCATTGTGGTTGCTGAAAACCTGCCCGAGGATCATTCTTATCAGAATCTTATGAAGATTTTCTCTTGTGCTGGAAGGTAATTTATTCAATTAAATCTTAGAAATTCTGAGGTTTGGTTGACTTGTTTATTTTTAAGATTCCAAACTCTTTTGTAGTGTGAAGACAATCCGTACCTGTTATCCTCAAACCCCAAATGGTACCACTGCCCCAACCAATAGATCATCAAAATTGGACATGCTTTTCTGCAATAAGGTACTTATATTCCCCCCACCCCCCGCTCTCTTGCTGCCTTCTATGATGCATATGTAGACACCATTGACTGAGCATCTAGTGTCGCAAACCTTCCTAATAACTCTGTAAGCGTGATAGACATGTTTATTTAATCTGTAATTTAATCTACCATCCTTTAAATTCATTGTGAATGGCATTTTACTTGACTGTTTTATTCCGATACAATTTGAACATTCATAAAATGTTGCTCTAAACAAATCAATCATATATATCTTAACTTTTATTCAAACTGTGGTTCTTGGGTATTCAGAACATTTTGAGTTTGCTTTTGGTGAATGTGAGGTGCATTAACTCCAAACATGGTAAGATTAATGCTGCACCAATTCCTATTTGTTTCCTCTTCATAGATGGTGCCCATGAGAATGCATCTAGGGTAACTTACCCCCCTTGGTGAAAGAAAGAATTCCGCATCCTTCAGTCCCACAAGCATGCAATGCTAGATACTATTTGATGTAGTGGGAGTGTTTATTTTCGGTCAGCGGTTTTGATTCATTGCTCAGTTTTGTCATGTTTTATTTATCATTTTATATCATTTTATATGATTTAGGATTTAATCATATAGTTTTTGCCACTATTTATTGTCATTTTTATGTTAATTATCCTTGTTTTTCATTTTATCAGTTAGCTAGGGGCAAATCATTATTTATCGTTTTGAGCATGCTTGATTTTTGTTATTGTTATTATGTTAAGAATATTTTTTTTTATTATTGGCTACAAATAATCATATTACACTTCAGAATTGGTTTGGTTTAATAGCAGAAATAATTGGTTGTTGCTTTTTCTTTTTAAGCCAATACTCTCTTTAGTTGAAACCCTTCTATCTTAGATGAAGCCCTCTTGGAAGCTTTCTACAAACTAACCCTCTCAACTTGAGGCATTCATCTCAATCTAATACATTACATGTTGCGCTCATAATCTCCCCACTCCCCTTCATTAAACTGCCTTCCTTAAATTTAAAAATACTTACATATAATCCTCCTTGGGTTCTTCTAAAATCGAAACCTAAGTCCTAACAAATTCCTGAATCTGCTCCTCTTCAAGTAAATCAATTTTAAATCTTCTTAAAAAACCTCCACACCTTATTACAATTGAAAATGTAACCCTCATCCTCTTTCACCACTTTTGTTCACCATTTGGCTACCCCTCCCCTAATCCGACTATTTTTCTTAGAAAATGTAATCTATCTTTCTTTCATTTAACTTTATGTTCTCTTGCCCTAAATCGAGACCATTCGAGACCATTAATATAATGAAAAGAAAATGATTTTAATTGGTTTACTAAAAATAAAAAATAAAATCTGAAAGCACTAGTATGCCACCTAATTCCTTAAAAGTAGCAGGATAACACTTCAATTTTCTAACCTTTTCTATTACACCGTTCTCTAACATACTATAACTATATTTGAGCTAATTTACTATAATTTTTACCTTTATGTCAAAATTATTCCTAATATCTTAATTGCTTCTTACTATATCCTTCGCAACCTCATTTTCTCATTAATGAACCATATATGCCTCGCTAGCATATTTTATCATTAGGTCCTTTTGAAGAAAAAATGAAAATTATTTTTACATCACATATTGTTATAATTATCCATTGCATTCATTTTTTTTTAAATTCAATTTCATAGAAAAAGCATTTATATGTAGCAACTAGGGCATGCATTCTTTGGTCAAAACCTAAAAACTGAACTGAATTTAGCTGATTTGGTTGATTTGGTTCGGTTTTAAAATAATGATTCCCTTTTTTGTCTCAAAATTTTGAATATTCGTTTTTCAGCTTTCAATTTGGTTTTAATTTTATTAAACCAAAGAAATCGAAACAGCAAACAAGATTAGGAATAGAAAATTAAATTCATTTGAAAAGAAAATATTTTGAGCATATGACATTTATTTTACTTTAGTTTGAAATTTATAATTTTAAAGAGATACGAAGAAGATATAAAAGAGAAGTGAAATTTTTATTTTTGCAATGGAACGTTAAGTTTTAATTATTTCATTTTGAAATAAAATCAAATGCTAAATTTTGGTTTGCTCCAAACCAAACCGATTAAACTGGTTTACATTTCTGTTCGGTTTGTGCCGGTTTTAGCAAGAGTTTAGTCATTTCGAATTTTGGTTTCATTCGATTTGACTAATTTGTGAACCGATCCATCCAAATTAATTGTTTACACACCCCTAGTACCAACAATAATGTTTAATAAAATTAAATATAATATGTTCTTTTACCATATGATGTAACATGACATCATGATTTTTTACTCATAATTCTTAAGATCTATATGCGTGCAAACAAATTAAAACACGAGGGGTTTAAGGAAATAGCTACACACGTTTTTTATGCTTGCTCATGAGAGAATTATGACATAATGAATGAAATGGCATCTTTTCTCCATCAAACAGAACATAACCTTTTTGTTAAAAATTTAAGAGAATGTACTTTTTTAAGTTAATGGGATATTTACTTTTAGATTTTCTGCAATTGGAGTGATTTATTCATAAGTCTTCATAAAATAATATGATATATATATAATATATGTAATATTTAAGAATTGGTTTGTGTGCCAGTAGAGATAAATGTGTGATGGCACACTAGTAAAATTCCATATAAAAGTTAATTACCTATTAAAACTTTATTAAATCTTATAAATCTTAGTAGTCTCCTAAAATTCAAATTAATTTAATCTAAACCATTTAATGTTCCACTTAAACCTGATTAAGCCAACCCAGGATAAATATGATCCAACTGAAATAAGAAGAAAAAAAAGTAAGATATTTAATCGATATTATAATAAGGTTGCCCGCTCATATCAGTTTGCCACATTGTATGTGAAGACCTTGTGGCTTCTACAAATACTCTCAAAGTTGTTGGTTTCGAGGATCTATCCAAAAAAAAAAAAAACAATTTAAAAAAGTAGAGAGATGAAAGGTTAACAGTTATAAGCTTAAATAGTTTGGATAAGGCTAATGATGGTGATGATTTTTTCATGCTTATAAGAAAATGCTAGAGCGATTGCTGGTTTTTTTTATAAGACAATCATCATGTGAGTTACAAACAATAATGATGTCCGTATATGATAGAGTTATATGTTTTCATCTGGCTAAGTTCTTGTCATATTAAACGGGTGAAATTTCTATAATAATTTACTGATGGATTTCATCTGTTTTCATTCTTAGTTCTGTCTCCATTACCATAAACTTAATGACATTCTTTGCGGTTCTCCTTGCTGAAAAAGTGATGTGTATTAGTTTTCCATTTTTTTTATATATTTGACCTTGACTTTAGATTCACTGGTTTTTTTTTTTTTTTGGAAAACTGGAAAATTCTTCGTATTCTTCGTGCTTCAAATTTTTATCAACTTTTTGCTTTGAAGTTAGTGGTCAAATTGAGGTACTTATTAGGAGTTTGGGCAAAACTCCTTGGATGTTTGTTGGAAATGACTGCACAATAAGGAATTACATTTATCGAAGTGGTTCATACAATTTCACTAGGTTTCCTCTGAGGCTTATAGATTCAAGTCCACTTCTATTACATGCATATTCAAATACTGCTTCATTCTTGTGGGTCATTTTCACAACATACATGTTGAAGTTTAGAAATGCTTGCTTTACATTATGAGTAAAATCAAGCTATACAGTTAATTCATGCAAAATTCATTTCTCCATGTAAGTTGTAACGATAAAAGTTATTTTTACCTGTCAGCCCCTAACATTAATTTTATCGTTTATAATTTAATCTCTTACTGTTAAAAGTAATATTTTTTATTTTTGACTTGCAGCTGCACGCATTTGTGGAGTATGAAACAGTCGAGGATGCTGAGCGTGCTGTAAGTCTAGAGCTGATAATTCATTTTATATACATACATATATATAGATATTTCTCCTTGCTTCCTGCACGTATAATTGATTGAATTTCTACACTACTGCAGGTTGCTGAAGTTAATAAAGAGAGGAACTGGAGAAGTGGCCTGAGGCTTCGTTTATTAAATAAGTGCATGGTACACCATTCTTTATTTAACATTATTCTAGTTTTTTATCTTAGGTACTTTTGAAATCTCTCTAGTTATTGTACCCGGAGCTATGATAACATAATTTAGTTTTTCAGCAATAAACAATAGAATATCTGTTGCTGAATATAATCATATATTAATCCTTTAAATTAGCCATTTTTTTCAGTTTTTTTTTTTTTTTTTTTCCAAAATTTGATTTCTAAGTTGAATAAATAGCAGGCAAAACATGGTTCTGGACGTGGAAGAAAAGCAGGAAATGACGCTGATGGTGCTGGAGAAGAAGAAGAGGCTTATTCACCCATCCAAGGAGATGATCCATCCCAACAAACCGATACGGCATTTGAATCTTTGGTAAGTAGCTCTTATTTGAATTCTCGGGCGATCACCTACATACAGACCATTGAATTCTTATGTATTTAAAATGTTATTTAAGTAAATATATGTAAATAATAATAATAAAAAAAAGAATTAAAACCTCATTATTATTAACCATGCGATTGAGTTGAGTTCGACAGGGAGGAGAAGAACTTGCCAACGAGCGAGAAGGTGGGGGAAGGCGAAGCAAGGCACCACGAGGAAGAGGTAGAGGTCGCGGGCGCGGGCAACATCACAACATCATCAATAATCATCAACGCGGCAGCAGCAGCGGCCACGGCCATCCCATCGGCACTCCGCCCTCAAATCATCAAATTCATAACGATCAATCCACATCCCACAAACAACCACCTGGACCTAGAATGCCGCATGGCACGAGAGGTTTCACAATGGGTCGCGGGAAGCCTAGTTTAGTCGCATCATCTTCCTCCACCTTTGGGGCTGGTTAAATTCTGGTGTGGCTGGTTATAGGGGCATGTCATGTTGTACTATCATCAAGCTCATGTGGATATTAGAAGGTTTATGCACATACTCATTATGGTCTCATCTAGAATTAATGACCCTTCTTTTTTTCTTGAGGGTGGGCTTGTTTGATGTTAAAGTTGGTGATATAAACTAGTTAATATGGAATATTTGTGATGCTTTGGTCTCTGTTTTCCTTCTATGTGATACAGAAAATAAAGCTTACCAAAGCCGAGACTGCTAGGTGAATTATAATTACACCGTGCTGAATTATGTAGGCTTGTTGGAGGCTAATCATTTGTGAATTATATATATATATTATTAAGTGTCTTTTATATATCTTTATTTTTTTAGGGCATTTATCATAAACATCATAAATCTAGCCTAAATTTCATCTTTAAATTTATATGTATGCATATAAATGTTCTTATTTTTATTTTTAAAAAATAATTAACCTATTTTTAAAATTATTCAAAATAATATAAATTATTTTGAATAATTTTAAAAATAGATTGTTATTTTCAAAATATCAAATCATACAATATGTATATATTACTTTCATTGTGTGGCTGACATTGACGCTGGATAATGTACACTTAAATCAACAAATCATATAAATAGCAAATAAGGGAAGGAATGGTACAATTTAGTACAATCCGGTTTCTCAGTTCCAAACTTCTCAAGGCTTGGATGGAGTCGGTGAGGATGGCGGCTTCAAATCTCTGAACTGCAAAACAAAAGAGACATTTTTGAACATTAAGCCATAGTTCATGTCTATACATATCACACCTAAAGCTCAATATTTACATGTATGCCATTTTACATATGCATCAGTGTATTTCACAGTTTAACAATTAAATTGGAGATTTTTTTTTTTTAATTAGATATGCAAGATTTGAATAGTATAAATATAAAAAATAAATTTTAGGAGTTGCATAATGTAAATACATAATTGGGTTGTATCCATGTAAATGCACTTGTTTTAATTATGATTTCATGCTTATAAATAGTAATAAAATTTACTTCTATGTAATTTAGTATTGGAATGCTTTTCTCATACACATAATTTAAGAAGACCGTCTAAAAAAAGTGTTTAATAAATTAAACAATTTAGCAAATATAAAATAAAACTATGTTATGCCTACAAAATTTAAAATTTTATATATCGTTCAAAATCAAGTCATGAATTTTATGTTGCACCAATTAATATTGCATAATTTTTTTATGGGGTTTAGAAATCTTCAAAATACAATGGGTGATTCGGGGCTCACCTGGGCCTGAACCGGTTCAACAGGAGAGCCACAAGAAGTCGGCCAACCCTTTGTTCTAGGTAGGGTTGCCGCCTAAGGGTTCTTCCCCCTCATATTTATCTACTATTACATATATGTTATGATTAAGGTTCAGTTTTTGTTGAGATTTCAGTTTCGACGACCCCCCCCCCCCCCCCCCCCCCCCCCCCCAACATTTCTTTTTAGGGTTGTATCTGACGAGGAGAAGGTGCTATAGTTGTAATTCATCCGAGGTGGTGAGTATCTTCCCCTTCCTACTACCACTTTCTTGCAGCCCTCCCCTTTCGATTTCCCGGCTGCCAACCCCTCCAACCGGCCAAACAGCCACCGCAATCCCCTTTTCTGATGTGTCGTCAATCCCTCCCTGGTCGTCCACTGTTGCCACTCTCCTAGCCAGCCGCCTTGCTCCCCTTTCCTATTAGACCCAGTCGCACCTACCACATGCAATCCTTCATCCCGTTGCCACCCACAACAAGGCCAGCCTCCTTCTGCCATCAACCAGCCCAAACAAACCCTGTTAAAGTGCGACAGTTGTAAGAGAACTATTGTTTAATTTTTTTAAAACAAAATATTTATAATTATCATCACAACTTTCTAAGAAGTTGATTTTTCCACCACATCTTTATAACCACCTTTTGCAAAAGTTGGCCTTCTCCCATCAACCACCCCAAACAAACCCTCAATTTGGCACGCCGAAGCCAAGTGCCTCAAATGGACCATTCAATAGCATTATATCATTGAGATTTACAATACAAATCTTTGTTGGGCCAAAGAGAAATATGCACGATTCGAACCCGCAAACTCACGGTGGGAAACTATACCCTCAAACATTATGTTTCAGATAAGTGTGAGCTAACTAACAATACTTGGAAAATCCTACATTGCACGGCAAAGAAAAATACTTACAAGAAGAAAAGGAAAACGAGAACAGATGAGAAGAGGGGAAAAGGAATATAGTCAAGGAAAAAATAAAAGATGACAAAAAGGAGACAGGTATAGGAAAATATTGACAATGCATTCCTTAATCCCAAATTTCCTGAGAACTCTTAAACCACTCAATTCCTCAAAATAAAATCAACCCTAATAAGTTTGGGCAACTCCAAGTGCAACAAGAATTGAAAGTTGATTTTCTTGCAAAGTTAATTTACTAACACATATACCTAAAAGTCTTTGGATCACTCATGAAGCCGTTACAATAATCAAGGCAATCGAGAATAGCCAGACCACCATAACCATGGCTGTATAAGCTATATGGATGGATCTCAATCAACTAAAATCAATTGCAGCACTCAAAAAAAATGACGGGTGGTGGGGGCAGATCGAATCAATACAAAATAGATTGGACATATCCAATCATGATAAAATTAATGGAAGATTTACAAACATAACACTCAATTTTTATGTATTTAACTAACTAAACCAAAAGTTATTGACCCCACTTAGTAAGATAAAACCTTCTTGTTGTTGTTGTTGTATATCTGATACCAAAGGTTAAGTTTTTACATAGATGCAACCTTACCCATGCATGAAAAGATGCACTTCATCGATACCGGAGTTAATCACAAATCGAGATGGAAAACACATTTTTATTACTAAAAAACAACGGGGTTACAATCATGACTCAAAATAAGAAATGTAATACAGCTTGACATGACTCTTAGACTCGTGCGAGGGAGGGCGGCTAGTGGATAGTCGGTCGAAGGGCTCATAGATGGGTTGGTAGGCTAATGGAGTGTTGGTTGGTTTGTGGTTGTGGCAGTAAGGATAGAAGGAAAGGTGGTTGTGTAGGATAGAGTAGCAGGGAGTATGGGGAGGGGTCCGTGCCGCTAGGAAGGAAGCTATGGCAAGTTGTTCACCGGAGACGAAGGAAACCAAGGCAAAATCATGAGAGAGGGCCGTTAGTTCGCAGATGAGGAGAACTACAACAAGATCACGGGAGAGGAAGACATGATCGCAAGTTCACAGGAGAAGAAACAACGGCAGCAAGGTCACATAAGAAGAGTAATGGAGTAAAGGATACAAACCACCTAAGGTTGGGCTGTAGCCGGAGCACCCCTCGCCTTTGGATACAGCCCTAAAAGGAAAAACAACCACCGATCGCTATCTTGGACAGAAACTCAACAAAAAATAAACCCTAGGACAACAACACACATATAAATAGAAGATGGATAGGTAGGTAGGAAACAAAAATATCAAGGGAGGAATAATTCTCGGCCAATAAAAAGAGGGAAAATTGGGGGGGGATGCTTGAGGTCTGTTCAGCCCCAAGCCCCTGCGCCAGTCTCCTAAATTTGGAGGAGCTTTGACTTTACTCGTCGAAGCTTTTGGCTCTCGTCTATAATCCTAGCAACTCCTATAACCCACTGACAACTGCACCATCTCCCAAGACACCTGATGATCTTTCCCAACATACGAGCAAACATCCACATCGGTCCAATCTTCTAGGAGTGTATTATTGACCCTCTGCTGATGAATACTCCCAAAGTCATTTGCAGTCAGCTTAACCAGATTTGAAGTGGGGGTAACCTGAACCTCCCCATACGGTGGTGGCACTGGTGGTAAGATATCAACCCTGATATCCTAAAATGCCCTATGTTGTGTCCTTCCCGTATCAGAATCTAGGGTCTCAGTCTCATCATCCTCTATCATTACCAAAACTGGTCTCACTGATGCTGCTCTTTCGGTAAGAATTTTTGTAATCTCAAGCTCCGCCGAAGGAAGTAGGATGATGTAATTCCCATCCTTGGTAAAGGAATATGGGTTTCTAAATCTGTCATGTTGAGTTATTCGATCAAACTGTCATGGTCTCCCCAACAAAATGTGACAGGCATCCCTAGTAACGACATCGCACCACCTGATCATATACCTGGCTCCCAATCGAAAACTCCACTAGGCACCTCCAGTCAATATTGACTCTATTCTCCTTTTTTAGTCACGTAAGAGAATATGGATGTGAGTGCCTCTGAGTCATGAGATCTAATTTCTCTATCATTTGTGTAGATTCCAAATTCTTACTGCTCCCCTCATCGATGATGAGACCGCATATCTTCTTGTTCACCTTGCAGCAAGTATAGAATATGTTGTGGCGAAGCCATTACGGATCCCTTGTATCCTCAGCCTGTAGGATCCATCGAACCACAAATGGCTCTCATTCATTGGATAGCATATGATACACCTCACCATGTTCCTCAGCTTTCTCCCCATCACTAACCTCTTCCACAGCGTCATGCTCAGTAAAAGACATGACTGGGCTTGTCGGGTAGCTGGAGGCAATATGCCCAAATCCGTGGCATTTGAAATATTTTTTGGCGGAGACTGTAGCAGGTGTGTTCCTCTTCTCAGGCTTCCTCTCACTGGGGTGGCTCTATCCTTATACGAACTAGCCTTTTCAACTCCCTGAGGTGTTCTGCTACTGATGTCTCCCATTATGCATGGTTGTCGGACTGGTGGTGGATGTCCGCTCTGTCTTTGTTATCTTTCCACTTTCATTGCTAAGGTATGGACATCCTCAAGTGACCAATAAGGTTGTGGTTGGACTAGATTGCTAATAGCCGGCTTCAGGCCCCCAAGGTTCTGAGCTATAGTGTGCTCCTCTAACTTGGTCAGCTTTCATTGCATATGTAAGTGATTGAACTGAGCTATGCACTCCTCCACGGAAAGGTCTCGCTGATGTAGATTGTGAACGTGTCCTGACAGTAATGTGGTAGATGATATTTCTTCTGTTTGGCTTTCTCCATCTTCTTCCACTTAATAATCTCATCGTTGCATTCTCTTTTCTTTTGTCATTATAAGTTTTCCCACCATCAAGACGCACTCTTCTTCTTCAATATGATAGCAGGTAATTTGACCCTCCTATCCTCTAACACATCTTAATACTCAAAAATTTATTCAACAGATTGTAGCCAATTAATAAATTGTTTTGGGTCCATACCTCTCTCAAACCCTAATAGATCCACCGTTATTCTATCTCTATGTCCTCCAACAAATGTCTAATCTCTAGGCCTCCTCTAATACTAGATTACGAAACGTCGTGCTCTTTCTTTTTCATCACTGAAATCCTTCCTATAATTAAAATTTCCGTCCCCTTCTCCTCTTCAGCTTTCCCTATCAGCATCAAGGGTAAATCCCTCCGGGGTGTCATCCTCGATGTCCGCAAATCTCACATTGTATCTCTTTCCCGGTAGGCTCGGGCATGTATCTCCTAGGTAGCATGACTAGGATTTGGAGTTAGGTGGTGAATGAGGGTGTAAAATTTTGATTTAGGGCTGCTGATTTAAATTAGGGTTAGGTTAATGTTTGGCTATGGTTTGGGAATGGGAAATAAAATTTTCTAGAGGGGGGTAAAGCAGATGTTAGAAAAATAGAATAAGGGTTATACTAGCTCTGATATTAATCGATACATAAGTTAATCACAAATCTAAAGGGAAAACACATTTTTATTGCTAAAAAATATCGATGTTACAATCATGACTCAAAACAGGAAATGAAATACAATATGACATGACTCTCAAACTAGGGCGAAAGGGAATGGCCGATGGACAGCAGGTTGAAGGGCTCGAAGATGGGGTGATGAGCTAATGCAGTGTTCGTTGATCGGTGCTTGTGGGAGGAAGGTAAGAAAGAATATGTGGAGGGGTCTATGTAACTAGGAAGGAAACTGTCGCAAGTTGGTCATGGGAGAGGAAGGAAACCAAGGCAAAGTCACGGGAGAGGAGGGAACCACGCCAAGATCACGAGAGGGGAAAACAACAACAAGGTCACAGGAGAAGAGCAATTGAGCGAAGAATACACACCATCTTAGGTCGAGTTAAAACTAGAGCATCCCTTGTTTTCGGATACAACCCTAGAAAGGAAAACAATAACTGGTGGCTATCTTGGATAGAAACTTGGCAAAAACTAAACCATAGGACAACAACACACATATAAATAGAATATAGATAGGCGGGAAACGAAAACCAAATAAAAAAAAGGAGAAGGGGGGGCAGTCTAGCCTCCTGCTAGACCGAGCCTTCGCCTACTAAACCGGTTGGGGCCGGTTCAGCCCCAATCCCCGCCAGTCACTTTTTAAGAGTTAAAATGACAGTATTTTTAATGTGATACGAAATATTTGGGTAATATAAATATAAAAAGTATATGTTTTGGTGTTAGACATGTAATTACATAGGAATTAGGTGGAATGTATGTAAATGCCCCAAAAACTATATGATGAATCATATAAAATATTTACTACTATTTCTTTTTTAAAGCCTATGGATGCATAGGTCCTTGAGATTGAAGGGTCATCTCACGCTAATCCAATATTTTAAATACTCTACAATTGAATCCCTTACTCTTTTTGTATGTCACTTAACCATCCAACTTAATCGTCTTCCATCAAAGAGAAACATATCATTTTATGTCAATTAAAAATGGTCATTAAAAAGGATTGTAATTATACCCATGACCCCTTATGAAATGTTGAATAGTTCAAGTGCCAAAAATAACCTCTTCCTTAAAAAAAATGGCTCTTCTTGTTCAAAGCAATGTGAATCCTAAATTATCAATTAATATGACAAAATCAAGAAAAAAAAAGTAGACAATAGTATACAAACAGCATGAAAAATCCTAAAGGCAGCCACAAGATAATTCTTTTAAAATTTTGGATTAAAAAAAATCATTCCTAACAAAATTATGTCGATTAACTTAGCTAGATCAAATGATTAGACAAAACTTGTCCTCTTCCACAAACAACTTCAATCTTCACCTTTTTTAACAAGTGATTTTAAAATCTCAAAAATCAAGGAAATTGTAATAAGTGATTTTGATATCTAAAAAATCAAGGAAAGTGTCAAATTAGTCCCCTGACAATTTAGATAAGTTCATTTTATTCTCAGAGTCTATAGTAGTATCAAAATATTATCTAGATTGTTTTAATGGGGGCTAAAATAGTTCTTATTGAGGACAAATTCAACCCATATTAAAAGATTTTGGGAACTAAATTCACACTTTTATGAATTTTGGAATTGCAATGACCCATTGCAAAGAGTCAAGGGATCATTTTGGCGCTTTTCTCCCACAAAATCAAAGTTCATAAAAAGCTAAAGTTGAGAAATCATACATTCGGGTAGGGTGACAGGGGTCTTCCATGGATCTGTTGTGCTTGGGAAGATGATTTCATGGTTTTCATATATCCATTTTCAACATTTTGGTTCACTTCCTGATTCATGTTGGAAGAAGTTGATAACTTCCCATTTTCATCATGCTCTTCAATTCCTTTTCTGCTCTCATCATCTTCATCAGCTGAATTTTTGCTCTTCCATTTGGGGTAAACATGGACAGATGGAGGTAGAAGAGTTTCTTGAATTCCCTATGGTGGAGGAGAGATGAAAATATAGATGAAACTCAACACTCCCTTCAGTAGATTTTAAAAAGAAAAAGAGGAATATTTACATACATACCATGTAATTCCTATGAATTTACATATCTAACACCTAAACTTCAACTTTTACTTATGTCACCTTAGCTATGCATGAAAAAGGAGTATTTCACCTTCTAAAAGTTAAAATAGTGATATTTTTGATGTGATATAGTAGATTTGGACAATATAAATGTATAAAATTTATGTGTTGGATATGTAAATGCATAGGAATTGAAACTTCAATTTTTCCATATATATGTCACCTTACCTATGTATAAAAAGATGTATTTCACTTTTTAAAAGTTAAAAATAGTGGTATTTTAATTTGATATGAAAGACATGGGTAGTATAACGTAAGAAAGTAAAATTTAAGTGTTGGATATGTAAATACATAGGAGGTGGGTGGTATATATGTAAATGCCCCCAAAAAATAGCAGCTTGTTTGGTGAAGTTTGAAATACTAAAAATTGCAACATTAATAAAATTCATTACAGTACCAACCTGTCAAAAACTTGATGAAAAAGTAATCTAAATTACAGAACAAATGAATCAAACAATTCACACGTGTTATTCATTAGCAAAGAAAACATTTATGAAATCCAAGGAAAAGTTATTCTAAGCTTAACTGACCTGCCATCCATCCTTGCCTAGTAGACCACCTTTAATTGCATAAGCTTCTTTGAAGCCATTCTTAAATAAGAGCTCGGCCACTTTCAGAGAATTTCCATCAAAGCTAAATTCCACAAAAATAAAGTAATTAATAGAAATTTAAGGAAGAAGCTCAAAAGCTCTGGTTTTGCCTGTATGTAAAATCTAACACCTACACTTTGTTTTTTTTACATTTATACCTCACAAATCTTTCATATCACATCAAAAAGACCGTCATTTTTACCATTAAAAAGTGAGAGATATATTTTCATGCATAGTTAAGAAATTATATATGTAAAAAAATTGAAGTGTAGGTGTTAGATATGTAAATACATAGGAATTGAGTGGTATGAATGTAAATATACCTCAATTTTATTGCCCATAGCATATAAAATGGGAATTATAGAGAATTTGGATGTTCAAATTAGCATGTCTTGGCTTACAACAGCTTATATTTTATACCAATTACAGGACTTAATCTCAATTAAAAGCTTTGATTAACTTAACTTGCTTGAGCTAGACTAATTTAAGCCCCGTCCAAAGTAAAAATTAATGTGTGGACTCCAAAACTCAGTGTACAATAATGTTGTACACTGACATGTGTACAACAATGTTGTACATGGAGTCCGCATGCATACGAACTCAGTACATTACATTCCCTTCATCTAAAGAAGCTCTAAAACTTATGATTGGGTGTGAAACGAAACGCAAAATCAATTCCAACTCACAAACTCTCTAACTTATAACAAAGTTATGAATTTGCCAATACAAAAGTCTTTTTTTTTTTTTTTTTTTTTTTTGTAGCGGGGATGGGAAAAGAGATCTGATCTTTATTTTAT